CTTGGAGGGCTGAGGTTGCCACTAACCAACCCTGGGTCCTCTTTAGAAGCAGAGACAAGGTCCTGGGGGTCAGATTGCATCTGGGTTTTCATTTCTCCTATAAGATCAATGCTGGATCAAGGAGAGCTAAATTCATAGTAAAATGGAATAAAATCGGATTCGACTCACTGAATATATAGATCACTACAGGCAGAGCAATGGGAGTGAACTTCATCTCTGAGCCATAGGTAAGCAGAGCACTCCTTTCCAGAGATTTATTTCCTATATTTGTGTGTAGAACATATCATAAATTTCCTATAAGAAAAAGAAACTCAGCAGCTTGTGGAACCTGGAGGAAGTAGATGAGGTTACTCACAGATAAGGCAAAAAATACTTTCTCAAACATCCTGATGACCCCGTGGCTTCTAGGTCCCTCCTTCCAAGTTGAACTTAGGTGCTCAAAATTCCCAAACAGGAATGGCTATAGAATTTGTGCAGCCCCTTACTTAAAAAGCAGGGAAAAGTGATATTATGTAATAAAACATAAAATTCTCTTTTAAAAATATTTTCTTATAAAACACAATAGGTTTATAATGTTATAATAAATAACATAAATTTACAAATTGCAAAAAAGTATTTTTGGATCATAATTTTACATAATTTCAATAACTAATAATACTTCATTGGTGTCATATCTTGACAATAATAAGATCTTTCTGGCTTTCCTTTCTGCAAATTAATCTATTAGGATGTCAAAAATTATACTTTTATGGCACAAAAACAGACACGTAGATCAATGGAACAAGATAGAAAGCCCAGACGTAAATCCACATACAATTAATCTACAACAAAGGAGGCAAGAATATACAATGAAGAAAGGACAGTCTCTTCAATAAGTGGTGTTGGGAAAACTGGACAGTTAAATGCAAACAAATGAAATTAGAACATTCACTAATGCCATATACAAAAATAAACTCAAAATGGATTAAAGACCTAAATGTAAGACTGGATACTATAAAACTCCTAGAGGAAAACAT